GGCTGAACTCCTATTCCTGAATGCTGGAGTTACTGGCATGTGTCACCATGCCTGGCCTTTTAGAACCACTTCCTAACCTGGGACTGTTAGTTACAAATGCTCTAGGAGTTAGAACCGGTTACTGGTCTTGACAGATCTTCAGGAGGCCTGGGGAGATGTGTTTGAAGTCCCAGAGCTCTTTGGGTCTGGCTGGGATTTGGACTCTGCCTGGCCCAGGCTTTCTTTATAATCTAGTGATTATGGAATGAACTAGAGCTACACACATATAAATAGAGGCATGACAAGAGAGATGGGGGCGGGGCTGGGAGCCCTGAGCACCCCACACTCTGGGAAAGATCCAGATAAGGAGGCCAAGACTGCCATTCCAGCTCTGAAGGCCTTACAGGGAAGGGAGCCAGGCACAGGAAAGAATCCAATGGAAAGTTGGAAGCAAGCATCGCCTTGGTGTCGTGGAAAGAGTCTGGATGGGGATCTAGAAGGCCTGGTCACCTCCCAGCTGTCACTTGCCAGCCATGTGATTTTGCGTACGTCTGTCAGCACCCTCTGAACCCTCTCTTCAAAAGGACAGTTCCATAGTGCTGCATAGAACAGCACATTAAGCAGCATGTAAGCATATTCTGTGAGTGCTCCCTGTTCTCAGTACAACCTCAGCAAGGCTCCAGCCCTTAACACAAGGATTACATGGCAGGAACTATGTCTCCAAGACGCAGCGCTGGCAGAATAGTTGGGAAGCAGGCCAAGAGAGGAGGAAAGTGGCTACAGCTTTTTCTGGGTCCCTGCCTCTGACAGCATCTCTTAGATTTATCTCTAGTTATTTGTTTAGCTGTGCTGTGTATTGAACTCAGAACCCTAAACGTGCTAGATTGGCACTCTACCCTTGAGTCACACCATCAGCCCCTTTCCTTGGCTTAAGAATGTCTTGGTAGCCGGGTGGCGGTGGTGAACGCCTTTAATCCCAGCACTGGGGAGTCAGAGCCAGGCGGAACTCTGTGAGTTCGAAGCCAGCCTGGTCTATAGAGTGAGATCCAGGACAGGCACCAAAACTACACAGAGAAACTCTGTCTCAACAAATAAACAAACAATGTCCTAGTGAAGCCAGGTGGTGATGGTGCACACCCTTTAATCCCAGCATTCACGAAGCAGAGGCAGGTAGATCTCCAAATTTGAGGCTATCCTGGTTCCAAGGACAGCCAGGGCTGCACAGAGAAACTCTGTCTTGGGGGGGGGGGATGCCTTGTAGTCTGAGCTCTTGGGAATTGGGAGAATTGTTTGACTCTAGGTGTTTGATATTAGCCTGAACCACACACACAGTGGGACCTTATCTCAAAAAAGAATCTTGCACTGGTTGGATGAAGTGGTTTTCCCTTCACATGCCTGTTAGTAGTTGGGGTGGTGGTGCACACCTCCATTACTAAAACTCAGTCAGGCTTGGTTGGGGGCAGGTTGTGTGTACAGATGGTTTGAGGCCAGCCTAGGCTACATAGACCCTCTCTCAAAACAGCCAAGTGTGATGACCCATGCCCATGACTGCAGCACTTTGGAGGCTGATGAAGAAGGACTGCAAAAAGATTGAGGCAAGCCTGGGCTACACAGTGAATACCAGGTCAGTCAGGCCTACCTAACAAGGCCTCTTTACCCAAAACAACAGATGAAACCAACAAATAGCCATGTCAACCGAATTGCTTTCTTCAGGGTGATGAAGTACTTACGGGCCTGTAGAGATGGCTCAGTGGTTAAAATGAGTGGCTGCTCTTTTGGGTTCAATTCCCAGCATCCACATGGCAGCTCATGCTGTCTGAACTCCAGTTCCAGGAGATCAGGGTGTCTATGGGCACCACACACAAAGTGGTGCATGTAGGCAAAACACCAATATGTATAAGAACAAATACAATTTCAAAGTAAAAAAATAGAAATGCACTTGCAAATAATTTCACCCTGTTCTTTTTCTTTTACTACAAGATTTTTTTTAATGTAATGTGCCAGATGTGCTGGCACACAACTTTAATCCCAACACTCAGGAGGGAGGCAGAGGCAGGCAGATCTTTGTGAGTTTGAGGCTAGCCTGGTCTATAACATGAGTTCCGGGACAGCCAGGGCTACACAGAGAAACCCTGTCTTGGAAAACCAAGGGGAAAAAAAAAAGAATAGAAAAAAGGGAATGCTTTAAGAACTTGTGTGTCATCCTTGTGTGTGTGTGTGTGTGTGTGGGCTTGCTAATCTCTATATCATTCCTTTTTTCTTTTGATTTGTTTGTATATGTGTGCTAAAGTGAGCACTACAACATTATTTCTTCATGGGGAGTACCTGTCTCCACATGCAAGTCAGAGAAGATTGTGAGACTTGATTCTCTCCATCCACAGTGTGGGTCCCTGGGCCTGAAGTCAGCGGTAAGCGTGGCAACAGACACCTACTGTACCCACTGAGCGTCTCACCAGCCCTCTTGGTTTTTAACATTGGAAGAAACAGGCCTCGAAAGTGACCAGGGCAGGGTCCCATAGTCTGTCAGTCGTCTTCCTTGGGACGATTATTTCCTCGGAGAACATGGAGAAGGAGAGCTCAGAAATCTCTTCAGTTAGCTGGAAGAAATCTCCTGCTGCACTCTCCTTAGGCTTCTAGCAAGATGTGGACGGTCTCCCCAGGATTCCAGAAGTCTAGATGTTACCTCCCTGTGACGCCGAACTCAGGAATAGGCTCTTTCCTGAGAACAGCCTAAGCTCCTCCTCACACTGAGTCATAATCCTCAGTGTATTGTCTGTCCCTAGCAAGACTGTTGGCTGTGTGAAGGCAAGGGCATATCTGTCTTGTCACCCACATGAATCTAGTGTCCAGTCCAGTGCCTGGAACACAGTCGGTCTTCAGTAAGTATTTCCTGAGTGACTAAGCAGGCAGAGTTGGTCAGAGGAGTGCTGAAAGAGAAGGCTGAGTCGGTTATCCAAACTCCCAAGGAGAGCTGGGTCCGGTTAGAGGCCCGAACCCACCTACTTTGTAGGCTAAAGCAAGGGAATTGCAAGTTCAGGGCCTGCCTGGGCTACAGAGTGAGTTCAAGGCTAGCTCGGGCAACTTAGTGAGACCCTATTTTCAAGTTTTTAAAAGGAGTAAGAGGGTTAGGGACTTAGTTCAGGGGTAAAGTGTGGCTGAGCACCGAGAGACCCCAGGTTCAGTACCAGGCAATACAAACAACCCACCCTCAGAGTTCCTTTCCAACAAAGGGATTTTAGCTAGAAGGTAAGGGGAACTACAGAGGGGAGGGAAAGCAGGAAACCAAAAGGCAGCGATGCTAGTCCTTCTCAGCCACTGACTTTCTTGACCCTGGAGGCTTCTGCACAGAGGGAGTCTCAGCCTTGCAAGGGGAGCTGCCAGAAGCCTTCAAAGTGGAGAGATCCAGGAGAGAGACAGCTCGGCTAGAAGGGAGCGAAGGGGAAGGAGGGAAGCCAGGGAGCTTTGAATCTGGCACTGGGTTTGCATTTGATGCTGAGCCTGGGAGGCCCGCATCCTGGGAGGAAGCAGCGAAGAGGAGTCTTCCTACTGACCCCCTTCTGTTACATGGAGAACTTGGGAGGAGAGGCCTCCGGCTTCAGTTCCGTAGCGCCGCACTTGAGTACTACTAGGCGGATCCTACCATGCACATCTGCACATCTGGAAGCGGCTAAAACCGCCGGCTGAGTGGGGATGGCAGGGCAAAGACTGCCGGTGGGTCCCTCCACACCTCAGAGGAGCTCTCTAGCCAATCTACGACATCCCCACTGAGGAAACGGTTTTTGCTAGTGGGTGTTAAGCCAGATTTAACCACAAGGGGGCAGAAAAAGCAACCCTTAAGGTCAGTATCCACCCAGCTCCCACCTACTCTCACCTGAGGCCAAGATGGGCGGTGCCTCACCTGGCTCTCACCTAGAGTTCCGTTAACCCCTTCCTGCCTAGTCTGAAGTACCTCCCCCAGCAGTCATTCTTAGCGGAACTGGGGGCCAATTTTGACCCAGAGACAAAGTGTCCCGCCCGGGGTGGGGAGGTCAGGGTGGAGGTAAAGTCAGGGTTTCCAGCAGCTCAGATCCTTGTCCTTCTAGCTAGGGCCTGGGGAGGCTACAGTTCTCTGCCTCAGATGGGTAGGTGACCTCTCAGAACAGTGAAAGTCCTGCGGGTCGCAAGGGAGGCAAAGGAAGTGGTCACCTGCGCTGGAACTCCGGGGACAAGCTTTAGTGGAGCCTGCTCAAGCAGCTTCAACATCCAGACTTCCGTCTCTCTGCAGCCATCAATCTGTCAAGGGACTTCAGCTAGAGGGAGGGAGGGAGGGAGCCCACGAGTGAAGGGAAGGTAACAGACGGTGGGAGCCGGAAGTAGGCAGTTAAGACCAGGTTCGAGAGCGGACCGGATTTGGCAGCTCTCAGGTGCCGGCTTTGCGCGTTGTTCCTCCAGTTACTGGCAGCCTTTCAGGGCTCAGATCGGCCGAAGTTCCGGGATTGCGTTCCGGGCCTTAACGTGTTAAAACTGTGGGAGTGGGGTTCGGAGTCCCTCCCTCCCTCCTTCGCGAATCAAGTGTCACCACCTCCAAGTCCACCAGGCTGGCACGCTAGGAGTTAAGTCTGCCCGCAATCTGCAAGACTGGAGCCAGAGATGGGGAGGAGGGGGGAAGGGGGGGAGCAAGGAGGTGGGGGAAGCAGACTGCAGGGAGACAGCGCCAGGAACCCCCTCCCTAGGGACCTGGCCCCTGGGCCCCCAGCCCCAAAAGGGGCCCTGCCCTCCCCGGGGTCGCGCTCTCTCCCCCCGCCCTGCCTGCCCCGCACCCCCCCGCCCTCCAGCTTTGTGTCCCCAGGAGGGTGGGCTGCAAGATTTCCAGCCAAGCCTTGGCTGCCTGCTCAGTTTTTCCAAACCCTCCAGTCGGAGAAGGCGGGAGTCCTGTCAGGATAAAAGTCCCTCCCCCCTGCCCCTGCCGGCCCCCTCGCCCAGCCCGGAGTTTCCTACCCCCGCAGCTTTTCCAAACTCCTTTCCCTTTCCGACCCTGGCCCCAGCGCCCCCAGCCCCACCTCTCCTGGTTCCCAAGTTCCAAGTTCAGGTTGGAGGGGGCCAGGTGGACTCCACGGTCTTAGGGAGGCGCTGGTAAAGCCTCGCTCTGCCGGCCGACCCTGAGACCTGCGGGGCGCCGGCCTGACTCCCAGCCCCGGCCCGCCCCATCCCGGGACTCGGTCTCTTGGCCACCTGGGAAGGTGGCTCTCGGGGTCTCCCGCTCCCGGAAGGAGGCGGTGCTGGGGACGTCGGCACAGCTGGGCGGTAAGGTTGGTGCGGCAGATGCCAGGCCCTAAGGCAGGCTTCGAGGAGGGGCAGTGTTCCCAGCGCTGGCACGGCTCTGTCCAGAAAGTCTATTATATAATAATCACCATCTATCAGGAAGCCAGGCGGCTGGAGAGAGTGGGGAAGCCAGGATGCCCGGATCCGCGCCTCCTCCAGGGGCCAGAAAGGTGTCTCCACCAAAATAGGCACCGTGTAGGCACAGCCTAGCGGTCAAATGATGGGGGGGTCCAGAGGCTAGTGAGGGGCGCTGGGCAAACTGGCTGCAGCCTCAAAAACCCCACCCTCAGAACTCTGACGGGCAGTGCCCCGAGCCAATGATTGAAGTCACTGTGGGGCTTGAGGTTAACCCTTTCTTGGGTCCTTAGTTGCTTCAGAGTATAGAGTCCCTTCCACAGAATTTCCCCTGAACGGCGCCTACCTGCTCGGGCTAGTGTACGCTGGAGAGGAGTGCCAGCATTATCTGTGCATTCTGATCACTGCAGAAACGGGAAGAAGGCTAATCTCGGATCACAAGCAGTCCTGGGCTCCCTCTTCCCACCATCCACAAGTCAATTTTATTGCAAGATGCGCTTGTGGGTAGAGTTTCCAGAAACAGCCTTGGGCAGCGTTGGCACAGCGACATGGCATCAGAAGCAGGCACCTTCATGCGATTATATCCATGCCGCACTTTTACCGGCCAAAGCCGACGTGGACACTCACTGGCACACCTGTGACATCCCTCGTCATGCAGCTACACACGGAAGTACGGTGGCTCCCCTAGTTGGCCAGTAGAGGGAGCCGCTCGATTCCAGCAAAGGGCTGCTGGCTCCCCCTTCCCGGCTCTTTGGCTCCAGGGTTCCACCCAGAACTCGTGGCTGCCCAAAGCTGGGCTCTGTATGCAGACCTGGAACCTACATTGGGGGAGTGAGTCACAGCCACACCCAGGAGAGCGCTCCACATGGCTGCTTCACAGGACATACCAGACACTCTGGGGTTTTATTATGTACTACATTAGAGACCCCTGCAACCCAGCCATCATTTCCCCTTATATTGATTTATGGACCTACTATGAACAGGACTTGTGCCAAAAGGGATCATAAGAAGGGCGGGGCCTGGTTGTGTATGCTTTTAATCCCAGCACTTGGGAAGCAGAGTGAATCTCTGAGTTCAAGTCCAGCCTGCTCTACACAGAGAATTCCAGGCTAGCCATGGCTATCTGGTGAGACTCTGTCTCAAACAAAGAAGGCCAAGTGACTTGTCATTTGTATGGTGGGAGACAGATCTGCATAAATAGCTGCAAGGTTCCTGTTTGTGAGCTGGTCCTCTGCCTGTGGTTAATAGTATACGGGAACCTTAGGGAGAGAAGAAACCCAACGTCATTGGTCCACTCTCCTAAGTAGAGGGATCACAGAGATCAGCAGCTCTGGGCTCAAGATTTTTGTTTTCCCTTTAAATGAAGATAGATCTACATATAAAATAAAAAACAAAATGTTTCTATTAAAAAATGATCCTTGGGCATAGTGGTCCATTCCTTTAATTCTAGCACTCTAGAGGCAGAGGCAGGCAGATCTCTTAGTTCAAGGCCAGCCTGATCTACAGAGACAGTTTCAGGATAGCCAGGGCTACAGACACTGTCTCAAAACAACCAACCAAACAAAAACCAACCCAAGACATGGTCATTTGATAATGTACATAAAAGTACTCTGTAAATCATAATGCTATCACACATACATTTTATAGTTATAGTCTCTCCACTTTCAGGATTTTTGTTTATTTTTATTTATATTTTAGGTAGACTCCCATATTTGCTCAGTTTGAGCTTAAGTTCTCTGTATAGCTTAGGGCTGAGGGTGATCTTGAACTCCCAAACCTCCTGCCTTCACCTTTCTTTTTCTTTCTTTTTTTTTTTTTTTTTTTTTTT